CCTCCTGGAGGTCGGCGTCGACTTTCCCACTGATACCAACGCAGGGCATCTCCGTCCATTGCCACCACCGCGGCTTGGAGTTTCTCCGCTTCCGTAAGGTGGTAGAACTGAAAGTACTGCTCACTCCTTAGTATCCACCCGTCGGGGTCGGACCCATCAAAAATAGGCATGTCAAGCTTCCTAAACTTCCAGTTGCCTCGGTTCTCGTTATCTCCGTTGTGATAACGGTATTGCCCTCCAACTCCGGGTTCCCACGATCCTATACGGACTCCGTTGAAAACTCCAGTTCCGATTGGCGGCTCATTAAACCCAGTGTTCAGGTGCGGTGAACCACCACCCAGGGGTTGCGGCTGCTCCACCTCTTCGTTCATCGTGTTAGGCTGCTTTCCCAGGGCTTTAATGGCGCTGCGAATTTCATCCATGACTTTGTCTTGCCGGCTCGTCGTCATGTTAATTTGTTGAACTAGGTCCTGCCGGAATCGATCCATTTTTCCTTCTAACGATTGTCGCACCTTATCCATGGTTTCATCTTGTTTCTTTAACAGGGACTGTTGAAGAGAATTTTCTCCCTCACCGAGTTTCTCGAAAATTTCCTCCACTCTCTCTTCAAGGGCCGCCACCCTCTCCGGCGTCACATTCAACGGCGTTGGCGGCATGTCGGCTCTGATACCAACTGCAACGGACTACGTGGTACGAATATAGAAGGAAGGTTGTTGGATTGATTGAAAGCTATAAGCTTGCGTGAATGATAACAATGGCTTTAGGCCATGACTCTCCAAAAGTTTCTTACAATTTTTTGCATACCTTTCTACTTCTTAGGCTTCTCTAGTTATACTGCTATCACAAGCACATAATTGGCAATACAAGCCTTAATTACTACATGTACCATATTTGGCATCTTACTACTTTAATCTATTACAAACAAATAGCTAAAGTAACTTGTCCCCTGCTGCTCCCCTGCTCTCCAACGGCTCCTAAGGCTTGATGTTGTTGTTGGTGCGCTGCTTCTGTTTCTGCCTCCTGCTGTAGACCAAGGTCACGGGTGGAGGGTGAGGGTGTATTGCATGTTCGTTCAGTCGGTGATGTTTCTCTACTAACAGTTTTAATCACCAAACAACTTATATTGCAAGGCCGCATTTTAACACAGTCATAGTAGTGGCACTTGAGTGTTATCTATGTCTAGAATGACACGGGGGTTGGGAGGGGCAGGCCGGCCGTTTTCAGGGGAAAGGGAGATGGCCAGTGGGCTGGGGGTTGGAGCTAGGGACTGGCTAGGGGAGGGGGTGGTAGCTGTTAGGGTTCTTTGTTTTTGTTTTTCTTTTTTATTTACTTTATTTTTATAAAAATAAAAAAATTGGACCAATCACTTGTCATGCTTACCTGTTATAACAGGTCGTTGACTCGGTGTTGATCGGTTGGGCCTACCGGAGATAAACTCATATCAAAGGTGAAACTATTAAATAATAATCAAAAGTTGAGACTATTTAAAGTAAATTGGCCAAAGTAGGGATTGTTAAAGTGAATTTTTCCTTATAAAAAAAAACCAAAACCCGCAATTTGTTCACTTTCAAATTCTTCAAAATCTGGGTTGCTGAAGAACAGAGCAGCAGTTGCAGCTCGTTTAACCAGAAGAACTCTATAATATTTGTATGATTCTCTATCTAAATTATTTGTATTTGCTTTCAAAATTTAATTTGAAAATATCGTAGCATTCCTATGTTTGACTCCCATTGCATAAATTCATACTTTGCTTTTCTAGTTGTTTATTGTTAGATTTTGTTGAAACCTTCTTCAATCATAGAGTTTTCTCCCTTTTTATCCGAAATTTTATGTAAATTCAACCTTAATAATCCTCATAAAAATGCTTTTTTTTTTGGGTGCTGAAATCTACTTCATTGATGTATGAATAATATGATGTGTAAATGTATTGATAATATTCAATATTTTCTCTTTGAGTTAGACCCTCATTAATTTTTGGGTTTAGGAGATAAATTAATTTTTGGCTGTAGGTTATAGTCTTAGTATAATAACACTTAATCTCATAATTAGTTAGATTTGTGAGTTATTGAATGTTTAATCACTTATTTCGTTGTTCTAATTTGTTAATTATCGAGTAAAATAGGAATAGCTTCTCACCTAGATTTGTAGTAATTTGTTTGTGAATATGGTGAATTGATTGCTCTAATTGTTGTACTAATAATGGACATAATGGTAATTTTTTGTGCTAATCGATTGATTTATGTTGGTGTTGTATGAATTAGGCTCTTATCAAACATATGCATTCCATCATAATTTTAGAAAATGAAATCAATAGCAATATTGCCCAATATATGATACTCTAGTTATTTTTTCTTCATTTTCTAGTCTAGAAATAAGATTTCTATATAAAATGTAAGCCCAATATATATATATATACTACAAAGAAAATGTTGATTGTAAAAAAAAAAAAAAAAAAACAAAGAAAATTTTTAAACCTCTTAACCACACTAATACAATAACTAAATCGGGGATTGTGGATACAAATGTTGAGAACTACTTGACAATTCAAATAAAGGGGGCTGAGAAAATCCATCGCCGGCACTAGCCATAAAGATGTTCCAAGCTTGTTCCCTTGCATTTAGTATATTAATTATCTTTCTTTAACGTCATTGTATGTTTTGCTGTCCCTCTTCCTTAATCTTCATTGATTGTCAGTATGGTCAATTTAGGGTCCTTTTAAGGTGGATTTTTGAACTATTGGTTGCAAACTTGTAATTACTGAAGTTATGAATGATTGTATCCAGCAATTATGTTGCTAGAATTTTGCAATTTGCACTTTATGTTGGTGATCTTAAGCAAGAAGAATTTTATGTGATTATTTTGTGCACCTTATGTGATTTTCAAGCCTAATTTGACAATAAAGTCAAATTTGGTTGCTATTGTGTTATAGCCTTTTGTTTACATGTTTATAATCTTTATGTTAGAATGGAACTATGATATGGATTATGGATCATTTCTCCTTGGCCCAGGATGGCTGTCCCTTTTCCAAGATATGGGACAGGCCTGGTGGCATAATGTTGTGCTGAACATGTTTCGCTGAAGAATAATTTTTTTGGTCAGTATTCGGCGAAGAGTTTATCCTTACCATGCTTTATCTCTTCAATTACTGCAATTTGAATTGTGAGCTGATTGATTGATAACAAAGCCTTTAAATGAATTGTTTATTAAATATAATAGTGAAGTTACTGAAGTCTAACTCGGGTTATCATTTGAGGCATTCATGTATTGTTAGACTTGATGCATGAATTTTTATATAGGTCTTCTTCCTTATTTTAAGTAGTTAATATGCATTTGCTTTGCTTGAATGCTTGATTGCCTGTCATAGTGAAGCATTATGCTGTTGCTGACCTTCATGTTACTCAATAAGAGATTTCTCCATTTACAGCTATATTGACTTGGATGTGAGTTCAAGATTGTGATTATCATAGAGTCGACGTTACAAAAGAAAATGTCGATGCACATAATTGAATTCTTGTTCTGAATAGAAAATGGGTCCACGGTGGAAAGGAAAAGATGCAGAAGCAAAAGCTTTTGCAGAACCAATGTCGGGAATAGTTTCTGCACTTCAATCATCTCTACACACATCAGAATGCAAGGGATCGATATCTGGATGTAGGGTGCTTTTTGAAGCAAATACAGAACAATCTGAACTTCTGGACCGTGCATGTTTTGGTCGGGTTATTACGACCAGCCAAAATGATACACACTGGTATGAATTTACATTACAAGAAGCTTTTTACTTGTGCTATACATTGAAGTGTTTGAAGATTGTAGGAGGCGATGGTGCTGTGAAAACTTATGAGAACCTGTGGCACTTCATGATTTCAAAAGTTGAAAAGTTTCCTGAGTATTTCAAAGCATATGCCCATCTAAGAATGAAAAATTGGGTAGTTAGGTCAGGATCCCAATATGGTGTTGATTATGTTGCTTATCGCCACCATCCAGCTTTGGTCCATTCCGAATATGCTGTTCTTGTTCTGTCAGAAATTAATGGCATCTCCAGTGGACGACTGAAGTTGTGGTTTGATTTGTATGGTACAATTCGGCTTTGTGGTGGTGTTGCTAAGACATTGCTAGTTTTACATGTTCTAGGCATCAGTAAAGACAACAATTCTCCGGTGTGTTTGGAAAATTATTAAATAGAACCGCGTATAATCTCTAGATGGATACCAGAGAAAACTCGTGAAAAGAAAACAGATTCTAAAATTTGTAGTGAAGCTAAAATGCATACTTGATATTTGAAGTGCTATCTTTTGTATGATAACTATAGCGTACTCTGTTTTAGATTCTACTCCGTACTAAGGTATTATGTAACGTATAGTCTTCTTTTAACATGAGTACCCAAAGAAGAGCACCCCTCTGTTTGGCATCATTTGCATTGATCTTGTTTGTCAATAATTTTCTAAGACAGCCATTCAACAGCTTCATTACTTTTCTGTCTGTTGAGTTCAACCCACATATCCACAATGGTGCTCACCTATTTGTTGTGAGAATTCGATATGGATTGTCCTCATCAGGTATTCTCTTAATAGGTCGGATCTCTAATTGGCCCTCTTCCATGGTGTACCACATTCATTTCTCAACAATGTTGGTTATGTCGGTTTCTGAGCTGCACTAATGATATAGATTTGTCAAAGAACATATATCAGTCTCTGCGTATTGTTGTGAAGATTGTTTACCATAGTTAACATTAACTTTGTTGTAATTTGTTGGTACAACTCAAGGCAGAATATCAAGCTAGCGTGTGTAAGAAATTGAAAGTTAAAAAGATCATTTGCAGTTTAGGCAGAAGTTGGTTTACAAGGAGCGGCCTATATCGCATTGTCGCACATCCTTCAACCATCCTGTGCTTGAACTTTGCTACCCTCAAATAACTGTTTGGATAAATCAAGGTCTTAAAGATGTTGCTTAATGGATTTTTACACATAATGAACCTTTTCACCTTACAATATACTATAAAATATAAAGGGTAAATAAAAAAAGCATCCACAGTAGTACAAGGTAAAATAATAGGGATGAACTTGACTGTAACATGATGCCCAATCATCGGAAACAAAACTGTATAATCTTTAACCTAACCCAGACCAGGGCAAAAAAAATTCACGATGTAGGACCAGAAATTCTCTCCTGTTTAAAGTCTCATCACACACATTTGCTATGCCAAATCCCGGAAAAAAGCTCTTAATTACAGGTATTAAGTTGTAAACAGAAGATATACAAGGCCTTTTAAATACTCAACTATTTCAGATCCACCAAGTTTTGAGCTTCCGTACACTCTATCAACAAATGTTATGGGAACCTCTTCAATATGATGGCCTTTTCTTGAAGCTCTGACAATCATCTCCATTTGAAATACATAACCTTTGCTGACACAAGAGCTGATGAGATCTTCAAGAACAGATTTTCTGTAGAGCCGAAATGATCCAGTCAAATCTGAAACACCTGGCCAAAGAATAGTGTGTGCAAGTACGTTTGCCCCCCTGCTTGTAAGCTTGCGCATAAGATTCCACCCATGTACACCACCACCGCTAACATAACGAGTTCCAGTTACTATACTTGCACCTGTATCCATTTGTTTCTTGATGAAGCTTGGTAAATACTTTGGCTGTAAGAGAAAGAAAAATAGAAAGTCAAGGCCGATTCAAGTTTCTCAATACATAATTATTAATTAACACAGATAATTACGTCCAACAGCCAACCAGACATTCCGCTGTCAAGCAAGGCCTTTTCCATACTGCAAGGTAATTGCAAAATGTTACTACCCAATAATTCTGTACTCAGCATTATTTGCTACTCTCTATAAACATGTTCCATTTCAAGTCAAACGGAAATACCAAACCCTCTTCCAAAAACACTAGCATGATGCTAAATACAATAATGAACCAGAATTTGCAGCCTCTACAAACCAAAGATTTATCCAAGTATCTTTAACTGGGGGATGAGACAATCAGCTACATTTGGTAAATGTGTGGCTTTCCAGAACGAAAAAAACGAAACTGCACTCTAGCATGAAAGCTACGCTGATTAGCTATGACAATGATCTAGGATTTACGATGTTTGAAAACAAAATAATTGATAAATAAAACCAAACAAATAGTGATTTAGTAGTTGTCACGCTAAAACATAATCAAATTCTAGAGATGAGACTGATTCACGGTAATATTCTGCACTAATGTCCATGTAGAAGGAAAAAACGAAATTAATGAAGGCAAGGTAAACTTGAATCCAAACTGGATCTATTTAACAAGCTATATTAATGTGAGACATACATACATGATGCGAGAGATCAGCATCCATAATTACAACAAAATTGCCAGATGCATGCTTCAACCCATGAGCATATGCAGTTCCTGCAAAATCCATCGAATATGACATAGGTCTCTTCAATTTAACACCAACAAGTCAACAAGAATTAAAGCCTACCTAGTCCAAGTTTCTTAGGTCTAGCTGCCAAAATCTGAAAGGTTAAGAAGAAAATAAGTGATCAGAGCAATAGGAGTAACCAAAATTGAGCATGTTAGTTGAAGGAGCAGAAAATATTTACAACACTTACTATTCGACCATCCCCGTATACTTGCTGCAATTGTTTAACAATTTCTTGAGTGCCATCTGGACTCCCATCATCCACGATAATTATTTCAAAGTCGATATCCCTACATACAGGATACCACAAACACTATCATGAACATTGACTTCAGAAAATTGCAAAGTGATATTGTAATTTTCCACGACTCCTCAAAAGCTCCACATCAATTAATAATTTTTCGGTTCTCACATAGAGTTTATCATAAGATGAATATTAAGAAAGAAAGAAAGATTGATGCATGCAAAAAATCCCAAGCCAACAAACCTTCTAAATTTTGGCTTGGCCACTAAAGAAATCAAGAAAGTCCAACAACTGTGGTAAGTGACAGCACGGATAAAAGCTGGGTAGTGTAATAGTACTATGATACTACTCTGTCTGCCAGAATAAGCGCATGAAAAAACAAGGAGATTTTCAATTTAAGATATATGGTTGTTTGTATCATCGTATTGTATGTTTATCACACCTGCTGAGCAGAAATTATTTATTGTTTAAGAAGGAAAAGTAAAATTGTTCCTAAGATAAGTTGAGCTCACTAAATATTGCAACTTTACAGGAAAAATTAGGATCATAGTCGAAACTCTTGAAAGGCCTAATTTTCCACTTATTTTTATTTATGGGGGCATGCCTCTCTTTCAACTTGCAATACTTTTTTTTTCTTCTTCACCTCCTTTTCCTCAAGTGAAAAGGAGTACAGAAAAATCGGTTTTAGAATGGACATTTAGGATGGAAGATACATCATAGCTTAAAGCTACTACAATCCAGGACTCTCTTCCCTTCTCTCCCGGACCAGAATTAACCAAAGAAAAAGAGGAACCATACAGATGAAAAGAGAACAGAAAATCGGGAAAGCATTACGTTATACACAACACATAACAAACCACATAGTTAACATTAGACAGCTTCAATTTATAGGGAAGATAACTTAATACAAACTTAATCATATGAGTTAGCATGTTCTCTTATAATATAACTGATATCAGTAAGTATAATCCGTCATACAATCCTAGCTTATCAGCCTGGCAACAATAAGGCTGATATTAACTTCTTCCCCTCACCCCTTTGCAATAACACTGAGCTTCTGGCAGATCCAATCAACCAATTTCTGTTACAATAAAATTCCCCCTTAAAATTACTGGTACAAAATCATGAACAGAAGGTACCAGCATACCACAATTACAAATGCAGCAATTAAACTCAACCAACTAGTATTCAAATATCAAACGGAACGACAACAATCATCAACAATCCATACATAGTGAACTCCATTTAACAACCTACAGATCATGAATCAAATCCTGGCTCTCCTTGCAGAGTCCCATCCCTAAGACTGTGTCAATAGAGTACCGAATCCAAATTACTGGGACGGTACACTTAAATATCCCAATATTCTAAAACAAAAACAACGATAAACCCGGATTTTCGACACCGGATTCAATCTGGAAAGAAAATACTGCCCACCACCCGCCTCCCCTCGAATCTTGTACATGTACAATTTTTAAAATAAATCAATGAATCAGACACCCAATAATCCTCAAAATTCTCTTAATTCCCTCAAAAATAAATAAATAAATAACAATAATCCCATCAAAAGTGTTATGAGTTCATCATCACATGACGATCGGACTTCAAATTAGATCAACAATCATAATTACACAATTCCAGCAACTAAATCTCAATCAATAAATAATTACATAAATAAATTGTAATACAACTTCTATATTAAAAAATTGCGCAGATTTTTTCTATAATTAAAGCCAAATCAAGCAGAAATTAGAAAGACGAAAAAGGGGGAAAAGGGATGATTACTTGAGATGTTTGAACATGAGGTATACAACGAGTGCAATGTTAAGACGTTCGTTGTAAGTAGGAACGATTATACTGAATTTGTTCTTCTCTTGCGCCATTTTTGGGTTGGAAGATGAACCCTAGAATTCTCGATTACTTCAAAGATCAAACCTCAATGCGGGAACAAAAGTCCAAGTTTGAGTTTTGACTTTACTACTGTACTTTTTCATAACAAGAGTATAACTTTGTGTCAAATTTAGATCAATAGGGTAACAAAGGCAAATGATTTTGGCACAGCGCTATATAAGAGCACAATTTTCTATGCTCTTCTCACATAGGGGTGTGCCAAAATCAATAAAGGGTGTGCCAAAATCAATTTTCGGTAACAAAGTGTATTTAATTTACTGATTTACAGATGCAATCCATTCAAAAAAAATAAAATTACAGATGCAACGGTTAATCTGAATTCAGGTATACAGGTCGGATTCGATTTGATCAATTTTATTTTTGGGTCATAATCCGGTCGGCTTAATCTAGCCCCTGGTTGGGTTCGGTTAACCCTTAACGCATAGCTGCTATTTGTTTGCAAATAAATAGGATAGAAAAAATGTACTACTACATGCATAACTACTTTTGTGTCCCGTGCATTGCTCGGATTGTTTATTGAATTCAGTAAACATACCTTAATGTAACATATTTCTAAACAAGATAAATCATACTCCCTCCGTCCTCGAATTATAATGTTTTTCACTTTTGTCATTTTGGGTGGCCCTATATGTTTAGCACATTTCATACTATCATAATTATTTTTTTTTAAATAAAAAAATAAAAATAAAAAAGATTGGTTTTACAACAAAGGATCTCAAAGAGATCAAAAGAAAGCTTTTAGATACTCCGATAATTGTTGTGTATATGTTCTTCAGATTATGCGGGGATTTATTATACTCTTGCATGAACAATGTTTACTCGATATATTAAACATGCAATGAAATGTCTAATCGAGCATAAGGTTCTGAGCGGCAATATTTACTCTTGCATGTGAAGCTAAACGGTGATGTTTGGCAGTATCCTTAATCTGTTCATATTACGCATACGATGCGTATTACAACAAGCCTTTTTTTTTTCCTTTATTAAGCCCACTTCTTATTTTACCCTAAGATTTCATAAATATTGAGCCAACTTTTGAATAATTTAATTTTTTACACTCCTAAATCTCTCAATTTCTCTTTCCCATGTACTTGAATTATTTTTTTAATTGAGATTTTTTTTCCATGCACTTTCATTACTTTATTGGTTGGGAATTTCACTTTTCCATATATTGTCATTACTCTATTTTCTCCACCTTAATTCTCGTGAATATTCATCAAAAGTAACAAACATTCAAGGACGAAGGGATAACATTAATTATATGAACACAGTCAACTCTTAATCTACATAGCTGTAAAGGGAAATGAAGATCCCTTGAATATTGATAAGTTTGAGGCAAGGGAAAGAGTTGTGGCTCTATATCAGCCACAATTAATGTCTATGTTGAGGCTATGTATCTTCACCCCAAAAGTACATATCATAATGGAGACCCCCCATAAATATAGTTTGAGGGAAGCAGCGGTCTCTCACTCGATACCCACTTCGAGTGTTACCCATGATGATGACACCAGTCTAAAAAAAGTCGTCATCAACTGATGGAGAGGAGAATGCCTTTGTTAATGTGGAATTGAATTATGTGTATCTGCAACAAGAAGTTGAGTGCAACAAGGAATTGAAGGAGCATCAAGTCCGTGGCCTAGTGGGCCAGTTCTTAGGAAGGACAACGTTCTTCTATCGCCCAAGTTCAAGAGTAAGTCAAGGTAGAAAAGATTTTCTGAAGCCATGACCAACAATCCAGATCTGCAAAAGTAGAGAACTAGAGAAAGGGCTCGAAGAAGAAAAACGAGTTTGCTTCTTAATGTAGCCTATCATAACATTATGTCTAGTTTTCATACATATGAAGAGAAAGGGTGGTACGGTAATGATTCTCTTTGAACATCCAAGGAAGAAACTTAATAATAGTTTATGTTTTTGTAATTCTAGTTCTAAGTTTAGTTGTATCCATTTTAAGGCTACTCATAATCTAGCTTGTAGCGCTAGAGGAAAAAAAAGGTAGTCTTTGTTTTCTTATTTTGTTTAAGCACAATAGAAATGTATCTACACAGAACACCACACTCATTATAAAAAAAAATAGCAAGTTATATCACTGAAGGGAATATTTCAATCATCCCAAACTTGAACCCCACTGTGATCATACACTTAAGCATGGTGGCGTCCAAAGGGAAAGAAACAAGAGCAAAAGAGTCGCCAACAAGTTTTAGGAGCTTGTAAACCGTTCACAGGGTGAAGGTTACACCCCTTCACAATTCATGAGATCACTAACTCCATAGTGGTCTGGAACCATGACTGGACATTCGGGAATGAAAGTACGAATCCAATTTAAAAGAGATTGAACCCGTCCTATAAAATAGGCTTCTACTTTATTCTTCTCATATTCATGTGCGCTTTCTGACTAATATGCAATCATTAGGTTAACCCTAAACCTGTTTAATCTATGTTGGTTGAATATTAATGCATAAGTAAATTTATTATTGGCGATCACTTGAATTAAAATCATATTAGCCTAAACCAAATTAATTATCTTATTAGGCGTGATTTCAAGTACAAATTCTCTTTAATCCTGCAAAAAAGGCGTGACCAAGCAATAACAATGATAAATCAAGCAACATGATATTAATCATAAACACAACAATCATCATACTCTCAATCATAATCTCAATAAAGTCTAATAATAATAGCAAGATCCTAGGCATGATACTAACAAGATTAAAATCTAAGCATGCTTTCTAAAGAATAGAGTAATAAAATTACTCACGTTGATGCCTCGTACCTCTTTTGAATAACAAAATACACACGTCAGTAACTTCTAGGAAAAAATAAAATTAAATAATAAAATTAAGGAGATGAAGTTAGAAATTGGACTGGATCCAAACCCTCAGTAATTATCAACCTTTCACGTCGAGGGCGAAAGCAACTTCGAACTTTGCTAGGTGTATCTAGAACTTGTAAATGCGGTATTGTGTTTTGTAAAGGCTAGCTAGAAAGAAAGAGGGAGAAAGAATAAGCTTTAGTTTAGAGAGAGAAGAGAGAGAATTGTGATGATTTAAAAATGGGGGTTGAGGACCCTATTTATAAAGAAAACAGTCCGAAAACGATAGAAAAGAAATCGAATTAGACTCGGAATAAAACTAGCTCTGTCGCGGAGCTGTCGCATCTGTTGCGAAACGACAGACATCACGTTTGGCGATAGACTTGTCGTTTGGCGACAGAGTCTGTCGTTTGTGCTAATTAAAAGATAAAACGCGCTTTTGTATGTGTATGCGTCGTTTGAAGTGCGCCTACATTAAGCATGTTGTAAATATGCTTGACACTCATAGGAAGTGGGAATTGACATATATGATTAGGGACACGATAAGGGACAAGAAAAGTAGGGAGCCGCCAACAAGTTTTTAAGGAACTTATAAACCGTTCACGGATCATTTAAGGCAACCATGATTAAGGGACAATGATAGGCAACAACGATTGACCCGTGAAGGTTACACCCCATTCATAATCCATGAAATTACTAACTCCATATGGTTCGGAACCACGAAAGGAGGATCGGGGATGATGGTACGAAGTGAGTCATGGAGTCACATTCGCCCGTATTGACCTCTACTCGATTCTTATAGCGAAAAGTAATCCTGTGATCTTAAAGGCATACAAACAAAATATTTAATTTGCTCCAAAATATTATTATGCTAAATTGGTTGAATATTAATGCACACATTATTCTAAAATATTGGAGATCAATTGATTAAACAACAAGATTAAAAAGGAACCTAAACTGGTTGTCCAAATTATCTTATAAGTCATTATTTTCAATTACATGTTCCCTTTAACATGCAATACGGTGATCATAATAAATAATAGAATAAACATTAATATTGGAAGCAATATAACAATACTAGCGTTAGTCAAATCAAATAATAATAATAATCATGATACTAGCAATATAAAATAAAAATATGTAATTAAATTAATTAATTACTCATATTCCGCGTAAATTGCTACATCATGAATAAATTGTTAGTAACTTCAATAAAAAAAATTATAAATCAAATGGAAATTAAATAAATGTAGAGTTGATTTGGTTCAAACCCTCAGTTAATTATACCTTCCACGCCTTGGTTTAAGTATAGAACTTCAGGTGTTGTATGGACTCCTTAGAGTGCTTAAGGGATGTATTATAAGAGAATAGGGTGGCTAGAATTTTAGGCTAAAGAGGGAGAAGAGAATGATTTTTTGGTGTAGGGAGAGAGAGAATGATTTGATGATCAAGCTTGTTGATGATTGAAAAAGGGGAGATATGACCTCTATTTATAGGGAAATAAGATGGTCGGAGAATCAAGAAAAGATCGAGTTCGAAACGGAATAAAACTCTTGTGATAGACAGCAGTTTTAGCGGTTTTTGTTTTCATCATATCTTTTGATCCATAAATCGGAATAAGATAAATAAGATGTCGTTGGAAAGATCTTGAAGTCTACTTTCTAACTCAATTAGAATCAGATTAAAATATTTTGTAGAATAAAAGATATAACCGAAATAGTGAGACGGTGTCAGTTTTGGATAGAGTTTGGTATTTCAATCATATCTGTTTTCGTTACTGCGCGGAATTAATATTATAATATATCATTGGAAAGATAATTTCAAGATCTATCCAACCATATAAAATTTGGATAAAAAATATGAGGCACGAAAAATAATATCTGACTGTCTTTGAACATCTTTAAATTCGAATAGAATTAGGATTTTCAAAAAGAAAAGTTTTATTTAATTGCAAATGCTTTAATCTTATCTTTTCAAAAAGGATAATTAAGATATTTTAAAAACTTATAGAAGCTTCTAATTAATCCTAATTGGATTAGGAGATGGGATTAAATCCATTGGACCCTCCACATGATCATTGGGTCGTAGATAAGGTGGGCTTAGGTTCGGTTTGGACTCAGTTTAATATTTTAGCCATAACTTATTCGTTATAACTCGGATTTGGGCTTATAATATATCGTTGGAAAGCTCTTTTCAAGCCCCATCCAAATATTTAATAATTGGACCCCTATTATGGACCAAAATAAACTGATATAAACGTTTTATAAAAAGGACACGAAATGAATGATTTTAATGGACACGAAATGAATTAT